AAATGACTTCTTTGTAACAAATTGATGATTAAATTATAACTTTAAAATGTTATAGATTTATTATTAAACACATAATTTAATGATCTAAAGTATACTTTACTTAAATATTTTTAATTTTTTCAATATTATTTAAAAATAGGAAAAGACAAAACACCCTTATAATAATATTAATTACTGTTTACAAGTTATATAAATAATGTCGTGATTTATAACTCAAATTTAGAGTTTGGTTCAGCGGCCAGGGTGCACCTATCTCAAGCACAATACCCAGGTTTGATTCCATCTTCTGATTAAAAAGATTAAATTTATTAAAATTAAGATTAAATTGATAGAATATATAAATATTAATCATAAAATATATATTTAAACTGTTTATAATTATATGGCATTCCTCCTTAAATCGTTGTTCCAACAAAGATGTATCATTCTTGATTTAAACCCTGGAAAATTATACAAACGATAGTTGATCATCCACGTACGATGCTTTTGCTCCGGACTCCTTTTTCCCCTTTAGATCACATACGGGTTGCATCAATTCAAAGAATTATAATCAAATATTATAGTTGCGTGACTATTTTGTAACTTTTAATAGTCGAGTGACTCAATAAAGTAATGTCCTATAATCGGAGAACCATTTTATAACTTTTCATAATCGGAATGATCAACAAAACAACTTCCTATAATCAAAAGATTAGTTGTGTACTTTACCCTAAAATTTATTAAACATTTTAAAATTTAAAATTGCGAACCTTACAACTTTATATACTATTCAGATTTATATACATTTAAATTCTTATTTAATCGAGTAAGAAGAGTTAGGGTAAGATTATTAAAGTTTGAGTAAGTTGTCGTTTTTTCATTGAAATTTTAAAAATAAATAATTGGTCAATAATATTATCGATTTATAATAAATCAACCCCTCGCCGCTAGTAAACGTTAATATAGGGGACAAAATGCTGATATGCCATGTTACAACCATATTGATCACTCTTTGACTCTTGATTTTATTTTGTTTTATAATGATAACCCCCATTTTTCCCCCACATTTTCTTCTTATCCTTCATTCTCTTCCCATGTGGCTCTGAATTACAATCATGTAAGCATCCTCATTAACATGTCTGTAAAAAAGATATCATACCACCACCGCCACCACCATTTCACGGTCGAGTATGTAGCCAACACCATCAACAAAGTCAGCTAAATATTTGCAACCTTGAGTTAAAGAGAAGGGGAATGGAACTTAGATTCTTGTATTTGATCTTTCAGCTTATTCTCAAGATCTTTAACCTGTTTGAATCAAACAACAAGCTATCGATCAGTTTTCTTTTAAAGCTTATTAAATATTACAATTCACAGACACTGTACATCACCTTTTATTGGTAACTTGCTTCTTAGCAGGACCCAACTCAATCCCTCAAGTTGCAAAATTTAAGGAGCTCAAGGTTCCACTTAAGTCCCTCTTTGAGGGATTAAAATAATCTATCATTAATAGAACTTGAATACCCTCTTCAAAAATTAGTCTGAATTTCCAGATTTACCTAATGAATCTTGAAGTAAATGTATCAACTTCGAGTTCCTGGAAACAAACAAATGATTTTGATCAAATACGATAACAAGAGGACGAGACGTGTGGCTATATAGTTTAGAAAGCTATACAATCACCGACTTATATGGAATGTGACTACTTTTGGAGCCTCTTTGAGCCGCTCCCCTTGTGCATCAGTTTTGGCCAGCCTTTCGTTGCCTGCCAAATCCACGAGCCAAAGCTTGTTCTTGGTACATTCACAAGTCTTCAAGTTTTTTTTCCCCATTATACAAAGCATGCTGAACAAGGATAAAACAAAAATTTCTTTGTAAAATTTTCAAAGAGCTTTAATTTCACATGGAAAAATAAGGAAGAAGAAAGGGACCAAAGGGTGTTCATGCCAGTGGGATCGACTGCTAAAGTCGCTCACATTGTTTGATCCAACAACTCTAGAATTGATCCCCATCTGTAATACATTCCAAACTATCAAAGATAAAGATTAGATTTCCTTGTATAAATTTTACCTTGTGTAAATCTTTGACTTTCCTTATCTTTGTATAATTAGGTTTCCTTGTCATCCTATATATACTCGTCACTAATAAACGTTATATTCATCAAATATACAAATTCTTTACATAGTAATCAGAGCCAAGTAGAATTTCTCTACTCGATTATTTTTTTTCCTCTTCCACTCTCCTTCAAACCGAATGTCCTCTCATGGCTCTGTATTTTGCCACCAATAATCTTGTGCATCTTAGTGCACTGACCAACTTTCCAATCAAACTTATGTCTGCCAACTTTCTTGTTTGGCGTCGACAAGTGGAGGGCACTCTTATTGGTTTTAGGCTAATTGGTTATATTGATGGATCACAACCTTCCCCATAATGTTGCAACAAAGATTGCTAATCTTGAATATCTACAATGTCATCGTCAGGATCAAATTCTTATTAGTGCTCTTTTTGGCAGTTGTGATGATCTAGTTCTACCTCTCATCTTATCCGCTGTCACTGCTAAAATGGTGTAGGATACTCTAGTCGCAAGTTATCCTCGTGCATCTCATTGTCGCATTCTTGCTCTCAAATCCAAGTTGGCTCACAATTCACGTGGTTTCAGATCTATCTTCGACTACATGAAACACATGCAAGATGTTGCCTCTAATTTTGCCTTGGTAAATTGTCTTATTTATGATATAGATTTGTTGATTTCTATCGTCAATCAATTAGGCGATGACTATCGTCCAATAGTTGTTGCATTTTTTGTTCGTAACACACTAACAACAATGCTTGAGTTGTTTGAGATCTTAATTGATCATGAAGTGTCTTCTCCAAGAATTTGAACAATCCACACTTCTTGCCATGAAAAATTCTATACAGCAAGCTAATTTAAATCATGGTTATTCGATCAACTGCTCTTGAAGGAATGATGGTCGCTCTAGTCATTCGACTAGTTGCAGTCGTAGTCTTGTTACTTAATCAAGCCATTCCATACCGAAAAAATATTATGTGTAAATTATGTAATTTGCCAGGGAATATTATCCGCAGCCAACGACTGACTCACCAATTGTCAACGCTACTGCTGGTCATTCATCTTCTGATCTTGCTCCTTGGATGTTTGATAGTGGTGCTTCACATTATACTACAACGACTCTTCATGATCTCTTCTCTTATGTTGGTCATGATAAAGTTAATATGGGTAATGGTAATTCTCTACCTATATCTCACATTGGTCAATGCCCAATTCCCATCGCTACCAAGTCTCTTTCTCTCACAAATGTCTTATTTGTTCCTCAGTTACATACAAACTTGGTGTCAATTTCTAAATTGTGTGAGACTAATTATGTATCAGTTAAATTTTTTATCCCTAATTTTTTTGTTATGGATCAACATACTGGAACTCCTCTTCTTTAACAACAAAATTAGGGATAAAAAATTTAACAGATACATAATTTCTTCCTCGGGTCAATTCAATCAGTTGTTTATCCGTGCATCAGTTGCATCATAAGTTTGAGCATCTGTTAGATAAAGTCTTAGCCTCTATATTATGCACATGAAATATTCCTTATGACTTAACTAGCTTGAAAGAATTTCATTGTTCTTTATGTCTTATTAATAAGAATCATAAATTACCATTTGGTCAAAATACTATATCAAGCTCTCGCCCTCTTGAGCTACTTTTTTATGATGTTTGGAGCACTAAACACATGTCATATGATGAATATTCTTATTATGTGGTTTTTGTTGATCATTTCACCAAGTATAGTTGGTTATACCTGATGAAGAAAAAATTTGATGTTGCCATAATATTTCCTCAATTTAAAAGACTTGTTGAAAGATTTTTCAACCAGACTGTTGTGTCCTTACTATTTGACAATGGAGGTGAGTTTGTTAAGCTCTTGACCACTCTGAATCTCGAAGGTATTTCACACTTACTTCACTGCCTCTTACTCTTCAACACAATGACACTGCTGAACAAAGACATCATTACACGGTGGAGGCTGGTCTTTCCCTACTTTACTTTTCATATCTTCTAATAGAGTATTGGCCTCATGCTTTTTAGGTGGTTGTTTATCTCATCAACCGGATACCAACATCTATATTGGATAATATGTCATCATACTCCATACTTTATCAACAAGCACCGAACTATGATAAGCTTCAACCATTCGGATGCTTATTCTTTCCTTGGTTACAACCCTACATGAATCATAAGCTTGAACCACGATTCGCTAGAAGTGTTTTCCTTGCATATTCTATGACGCAGTTTGCTTATAAATCATTGGATAAAAAAAACTAACAGAATTTATGTCTCTCGCCATTTTCAATTTGTTCCTCACAACTTCTCATTTGTTGAACGAAGTGCAATCATTATGCCACAACATTTTCCTCCGGCATTATTCCATGCTGACTCGACATCCACTCCTTCAACTCTATTAGTTGGTATGCCACAAAATAATGAACCAACTGCAGTGTCAACACCCTTGCCTAACATACCATAGCACATTGATGATCCACCTAATACACAAGCACTCTTGGTTGATACGCCAGAGCATAATAATGTACTTTCTTCTACAAAAGATCCCTTTCCACAATAAAATACTTGACAACCACACACTTTTTGGCTAAATCCAAGGTATTTTGGTCATTCATTTGTTAATACCATTTCATGAAAACCTTTGCCTTCCACATTGGATTAAAAAATTGTTATTTAGGCTCTAAAAGATCCGTTATGGAGGCAAGCTATGGAAGATACATATACTACCTTGATGTGCAATCGCACATGAGATCTTGTTCCACGATCTAAGAATCTGTAGTAGGGTGAAAATGGGTGTTTCGAGTGAAACGACGTCCAAATAATGTAGACACCCGTTTTTATCCGGGAAATAAATATTATATAATAATTATTGTATTATAATTATTATTATTATAAAATTTTAATTATTATTAATATTATTATTTTACAACGTTTACAGGCCCAAACTACAAAGACAAATTACAACATGCTTGAAGAAATTAAAACCCGGAGCCCAAGAGCAGCCCAAGTGTGACCCGGATCAAGAATTGACCCGTTTAGTTGCTGCCGACAATCATGCCATTGTTGAAGCTGATATTGCACAAATCATCCGCAACAAACACCAATCAATCACCAAAAGTTATCATCCAAGTCAAAAAAAGAAAAGAAGAAAAAGCAACCGAAAATCCCTAAACTTTCGGGATTTCACTTCACCAAATCAGAGAAATAATTCACCTACTTCTACCTAATCCAACAACATGCAATGGGATTTGGGGTGATAAAAAGGAGAGTTTACACGCAAGAAAAAGGGGGGAATCAGAGGAGAACCACAAAAAAACCACAGAAATTTATCAGTGATCATAGAGGGGGGTCTCGGCAGCAGCAAAACACAGAGGGTAAACAAGGGGGAACTTATACTTTTCTCAGATTCGAAACAAAATGGGGAATGAGTGAAGTTTTTTTTTCCTTGTATTCGAATCAAGCAATGTAAAAAAAAGGTTCTTCCTCTTTTCATTTGAAAAAAAAACAAAAACATAACATTAATAAAGAGGTATTTATCTCATTTTGTTTATTTTCCAGCAAAGATTCATGTGTATGGTTTTTGTTTGAAGCGAGGATAAGGGTTAGAAGCTTACCGAGAGCGTGTTTGAACCATCGTAGCTTAAGACCGAATCCTTGAGATTTGTTCGAGAGATCTTGCATATGGGTTGTGGGGTTTAGTGTTTAGATCGTGACTTTAAAATTAAAAGAGTAAGAATAAAGAGAGATAGACTGAAAATTATTTACCTTAATTTGGTTTCATCGCCGGAGTAAGGAGCCCGAGTTATGGGTTTCAGTTTTCAGTTGAGTTAGATAGTTGAGGGGGTTCGTGCTGTCATCATTTAAATCGTCCTTGTGATTCCTTTAATCGCCGGTCGGGGTGTGAGATAGACACCAAGCCGGCGGCCATGGTGGCTAAGGGTTGCAATCGGCCATGAAAGGAAGTAGAAGAAGAAGAGAGTAGCATTTGTGTTGAAAGAGAGAAATGAAGAGGAATGGCAACATAGAATGGGTTTAGTTTCGTAGGTGATACTAGGTTAGCCTTATGTATTGTTAGGTCAAATTTAGAATATTAATTATAATCCCAAAACGATGTAGCTTAGGAGACTTGGGGTTGTTTGATTAAGAACGGTTTATTTGGCCTTTAGGTCCTTCAATATTTGTTTATAATTCCTTTTAATCCTTAAACCGAATGTTTTTACATTTAATTTAGTCTCTTTATTTCATGCACATTTAATTTTAGTCCTAAGTGTCATGGTATTTAGTTTTTTCTGTTTAGACATCGGATGTTGTACTTTGGTTTTGAGCATGTTGGGTTTATTATAATTTTAGTCCATTCTATTAACCATAGTTCTATTTTAGTTTTAGTATTTAAAGTGGTATATTAGTTTTTTTTACTTCAATTATTATGTTTTTTTGTAGTTAAGACGGTAATTTTCTATTTATTATTATTCAACCCTTGTTTTGACAAGTATGATTAGTTTGTAAAATTTACAAGTGTTATGTTTGCTTTTTTTTAGTCCCATTTATATATCATTTTTAATATGCATGTATATATAGTTTGTTAATATTAGTTAAAATATATTTATTTAATCCTTGATTGTAAATGCTATTTTATATGATATTTTTAAGTGCTTGTTTGTTTTTAAATGATTACTTTTTTAATTAAGTTTCACATGATAGCCTCACGTGACCCATATTACATAATTGGATTAAGGGTAATACCTTTTTAATTTAAAATTGTTTTAAGTGCGTTGTCTTAACTGATTAGAGATCCGCTTTTGACGATTTTAAATTAAAAGTGTATCACATTAGTGACATCTAAAAAATATTGATTCTTCACCTTAAAATTTGAAAACGTAAGAAAAAGAAATGTTCGACTATTTAAATTTGTTGAGAAAAGGTCGTTAGAACTCACCTAAAGATTTGGTCTCGATATTTTTAAATAATCGAATATTCTTTATCTTTCTAATGGCTCGGTAATTTTAATTTAATTATTTGGTGCTATTGAATGTTATATATTTTCATTGTTTTAAGGGATCATAAATCAAATTAAAGTCGAACTTGTAAATTTCAGTGCAAAAACATTAATTAATCGACTAGGTACCGATTTAGGGCGCTGTGGGGGTGTTAATCCTTCCTCACGCGTAACCGACTCCCGAACATATTTTTTGGTAATACAGACCTCAATTTGTTGTTTTAATTAAAATTAATTTTTATTTAAAATGACAAAAACGTTTTTGGGTGCCCAATCATACCCTAATCAAAGATTGGTGGCGACTCCTCGAACCATATTTGTTTTCATCGTAAAGGAATTTCCAAATTTTTCGAAACGAGAGGTTTTTTAAAATCACATTGTTTTTAATTAAAAATCAAACCTAAAGAGAAATAATTAAAAATGATGAGGTTTTCAAAATCTCGACGCTCGTAAAAAATCGTTTCGACAGCTTGGCGACTCTGCTGGGGACTTTTTTAGAGGGTCAAGCCGATAATCGATTAATTAATTGTCTTTGCAAACAAAATTTATAAGTTCGTTCTAATTTGATTTTTGATCCCTTGTTTGTTTGTATTTTAATTTGTGATTTGATTAACAAATAAATAATTGTACTAACGTGTGATTTGTGTGTTTCAGTTTTCTGACCTTAGTCAGTTGTTTTTCTTGGATCGAGGCAAATGATTATGGGTTTCCCCTTACTGTTGCTACAACCTTTCGATATTTAGAGCCTTCTTACTGTGCTCTGTCCCGTTAGGTAGGAGTGAACGCTACGCTTACGTGAGAAAAATTATTTTTCTTCGCATGGGCTTTAGCAAGTAACCTCTGGGGTACATGTATTATGTTTACGAGCGAAACATTGAGTTTCCTCGCATGGAAATAGGGAAGTGTATCCTTTCGAATTGAACTTGGCCCGTTTAAACCTATAATGGGTGAGGGTCGAGGGTCTGGCAAGCTCAAGGGGGCACCAGCAAAAGACAGTTCGAGGACCCTGTTAGTGATACCAATACTCTACCCGTCTTATGATTGAATCTCCGTCCGCAGACACAATGGGGAAACTCATTCTAATCTTTTCCTCGAAGTTATTTTTGCAATAAGTATGAGAACTAGAAAAACATGCGATTAGGATTTTTTGTGAATAACAAAGCATGTGGGTAGATATCATGTTGGGTAGGATTTACTAAAGCATGATTGGGTAGCCAGCATGTGAGGGTAGGTTTATTTGATGTTTACGGTATCCATTATCTTGTTTTTTTATCTTATGCGCACTAACCCGTTTTTGTTCTATGTCCATTTTATTGTGATTTTATTACATTTGCATCCTCATGTCATCAAGGGGTGTTAATTCGCAAGTGATTGACTAACAAGAAGGCTGGCCATATTGAGGCAATAAATTCTCCACCATGTAGTTAAAACCAGGAGATCCAAAGATGTTCAAACGATCCATGAAGAAGGATACCCAATGAATGAAGAGATCTGGAGTTGATTGAAGGATTCCTTAAAGGTGCAAAGGCCAAGACGTTGACTCAAGGGACAGATACAGTCATACCAAGGACAAGAAAACCTTTCACAAAGACATGAAGACCATTTCACATTGGAGGTAAGAATAAAGATTTCAATATTCAATTTAAGGACATCCGACGTCATCAAAAGGTGATCAAATACGCCGACAATTTTGGAAGTGCAATACTAGATTCCATGAAGAGTACGACTCAAGGAAATTAAGAGATGAAGAATCATAGTTGTATTTTGACTACATGGTGTACTTACTGAATTCTTGTTGTCTAAGTGAACGGTTGTTCTATGAGTGGTCACTTTTTGGAGTTAACACCTCGTGCATTTTCATTTGCATTTGCACTCGCATTTTTATTTTTGCATTGTCTTATTAGTTTACTTATTTTGCTATTGTTGCCTTTTGTCATTTTGTTATCTTATTTGTACTAACTTTTTTTTACGTGGTTTTTCTCTTTATCTGCATTGCATGATCATGACATAATCAAAAGGTGTCGATTTGTGAGTGGTCAGCATAGTAGAAGGTTTTCATGATGAACTAGGGGTTTCGTGATCAAGCAGACTATAACGCAGCTAAGAAGTTACATCCTAAGAAAGCTTCGAGAATAGTGGAAAGATATGCACCCGAAGATTGCATGCCTGAGAAAAAGCAAATGGAGATAAGAGAGTTAAAAGAGCAGATGTCCAGGATGATGGATAGGATATATGCTTTGTCTAAAGGAATAGAGACTTCTACAACAGAGCTCGACAGAAGCAACCTTGAGGTGTCAAATATGCAAGAGACTACTTTAGATCCTGCTGATTCTAGCCAGTATGAGAGGCCACACACAATCATTGTTCGTATCAACAAGCTGTTTAGAAACACCAAAGAAATAAGGGTAACCGTAGAAGTTCAGAATGATAAAAAGAAGCCATGCAATCAGAACTCGTTGGTGTTTGATAGTCTACTCCCCACATCAGGGGCATTAAAATGGGAAATTCCAGTCCAACCCAAGTCGAGAGGTGGCTCTCTTTTTGATTATATCCTAATATCATATAAGGAGTTGTATGATGCACTGCTAGAAGCCCAAGAAGTGTCCCCACATTCTGTGAAACCTCTGCAGCCTCCGTATCCAAAATGGTATGACGTCAATGTTCGTTGTGAGTATCATACCGGGGTTCAAGGACATTCCATTGACAATTGCACCGCCTTCAAACATCGAGTCCAACATCTTTTGGATCATGAAGTTTTGGAGTTCGAAATGTAGAGTCGACTGGGTTTGGTGACTGATTATCCAATTAAGGTGGAGCCAAAAGGGTTCAAAGGTAAGGGTATCAGTGAGGACATCCAAGAAGAAGATAGTTTGCCAAGATATGAAACTCAGATTTGTAATTTAAGGAGCGAGAATGATGATGAAAGTTATGTGTGATAGTTTTCAAAGGATCAACCACGCCTTTAAATTTGTCGGCATAGGAAATATCCTAGAGGAATGGATAGCAGGGGTCGCTAAATTGAAGAATGATGTTGGAAAGTGGAGAAAGAATTGTAAGGTGCATGAAAGCCTAGAAGTTTTGTCATGATTTACAGATTACAGAAAGAAGACAATATAACTATTGATAATTTGGGAAGATATCAAGCTGAAAATCAGACGTTGAATAGGTCAATTACCAATATGGAAATTTCATATCAACGCCACAAGCGAGAGAGTGAAGCTGAGCTAGAAGCCACTAAAGCCAAGAACAAGAAGTTAATAAAGATGGTGGATGACTGTAGTAATCTTATGCAAGAGTTTCATAACCATAATGACTTTATTACAAGGAAAAATCAACAGCAGTGTCTGCAGCTCCGAGAATCAGTACTCAAGATAGAGAAAATGAACAACATCATGAAAGAGATTATGACCCAAGCAAGCAATGTGGCTCACAAATGGGTTGATTTAGCTGGCTTTGCAAGAGAATTAAAGTAGATTGATAACTCAACCCCCGAGCATGAGTGGAAGTTAAATTGGCTTTTAAAGGAGATAGAAAAGCTAGGAGTGAAAGCTGTCCATTATCTGTAAAAGTTTGTTTGATGTACCGAAACCTTTGTGTTCAATGAAAGTTATTTTAAGATGGTCACTCCAGAATGACACCTTTTGTATTTGCATTTTGCATTTGCATTTGCATTTACATTGTATGTATTTATTTAAGCATTTTATATGCAATAATTATGAAAACATGGAAATAACTTATGGGAGGTTATGTGACAGTAATAACAAAATCATTCATTCATATTTTTCCTCATCATCATGAACAAATAAATGGAAGTGATGGAGCAAGTTAATGAGAAATCACAAGATCAGTTGCAAGAACAGTTGGTCGGGTCACAACAAGATACGAGAAATCAAGCATCAGGTTCTCTACAAGGCATATTGAATCAAATGATTCAGGTATTGGTACCACAAGTGGCTGTTAAAGAGAAAATGGAGAATAAAGGAAATCAATCTCATCAGACTGATACATCAAGAGCGATAA